TCCCCACTTCTCCCTCTCTTTCTACCTTGTGCATAGCTGTGGTTAACCATGCACTGGGCCAGCCATTTCCACTACAGTTAGAGGCAGGAGGGGAAACATTAGTAAGATTAGTAAGAAGTGTCAGTAAAGGGGAATCCTCCTTAGCATGCTGACAGATTGTCTTCAGTCAGTTCCCTTCCTTGCACTGTGGAGGGACCAGGGACAGAAGGGGAATCAGCATGATGAGATTAGTGGGATTTCTCCTCAAAGTAGTGGGATGGCTTGGCAAGGGTGCTAAATTACCATCAGGATAACAACTAGTACTACCCTCCCCTTTTAAGTGCCATTGAGGCACTTACTTCAGGTTGGGTATTGTTATATGCAACAGAATTACGAAGCGATGGATTCATCTTCCCACCATCCTTCCATGCATCCTCCTTAATTCCCGTTCCTTGCCTAGCCAAATGGCTCCCTGCAGGATGAAGAAAGCAGTGTGAGAGAGCAAGGTATGCTTGGGACTGGGCCGAGAGCCTCTTTTCTTCCTCCTCCCTTGTGAACACGAGTGTCACACAGGCTTGGAATTAAAAAGGACGGAGTACATCGTTAATAATATAAGAGTGTTAGCTTCAGCAGTCTCAATAGAGCCAGTAAAGCCCCAGCATAAAAACACATAGAAGAATTTACTTTTGAAAAGAAAGGCAAAAGGCAAATGAAATACTTCCTCTAAAACAGCACTGGGAAAATCTTTCTTGGAATCATTTCCCATAATGCAATTTAATTCAGTACAAATAGCATGATGCCAGCATTTAGATAACCATGGCTACTTTCTTCCTTATGCAACTGAGAATGGGATTAGTTTCAAACTTGTATCCTTTTCACATCTTTGATAGATGGTTAAAAGTAAAATCTCCTTTCAGTAGAGTTTAACTCCTGCTGACCTCTTAAATATGTCCAGATAGGAGGGGTTGTTTTTTTGGGGTGGGCAACAACAACGCAACTGTTTTACAGTTGCCTACTTAAATGTTTCTTGACTTCCCACCCCAATCTGTGATCTTCTGTGGTCTCCCATACAAATACTGACCACGTCCAGACCTGCTTAGTTTTTTTTTGCAATCAACCAAGTTTAGCAAAGTGCTGCCATTGATACTAAATGTTTAGAACAGATTTCTACACAGTGGTGTTTTCAAGACGTGCTGAATTCCATAGCTCCTAGAATTTCTTTCCAGGATAAACCGTAATGTAGTGACAGCAACCTTCCAGGCTTAGAAATTAGCATCGTTATCTGAAGAGGAAAGAAAACACAGGAATTGGTGTTTAAAACAATCCCTCCAAGTATCCACAAGTGCACTGATAAGTGTGATAGCCACTCAAAACAATATGACCCATCCACAGTCACTGGTAGTTGGGCAGCTGTATAAATTTTCTTAATAAAGTAGATGAGGGCAAGATGCATCAACTCTCATCTTGGAAATTTGACAGACTTTAGCAGGATATTTCTGTTTGGATGTGAGAGATTGTTGCAATTCTTTTGCGTGTCTTAGGATCACAGTTGTGTGTTGACCACAATTATTAAACATGTCTACACTGTGTTGTGTACATTGACACTGAGACTGGTGTACAGTAGGATATGCAAGCATTCAGATAAGGCTAGAAGATACAAGGGGAGCTTTGTTGAAAATGTAGATTGTTTTAAAAGAGAAAGAAAGGTTGGCAGGTGGGCTCTTCTGATCCCTGCGTCCTGAGGACAACAAATGTTGTTGGCAAACATACTACAGGTGGTAAGGATTGATTGTAATTGCAGATGTCTCCTGATAGTGCTGCTATCAATCCGCATAATTTAGCAATACGTTGGAAGAAATAGGATGAAAAATAGTAACTGTTTTAAAAGACATGCAAAGTCATACCAGTCCTATTTACAGCATGGCTGCAATACTTGTCCTGGTCCAGTTGTTTTGCCCAGTTGATCTTCTGGATCCTCCAGGCCTCCATTTGCCTCTCTGGTTTCAACTGTGCTTAATCCATTGGGGTTAAACAGATCCTGTCCTAGGAATCCAGGAGGGTTGCTAAGGCCTGTTGTCCTTTGGACCTGGGTGTTGGTTGATGACCGTTGTGGTAAAACTTAACCATTCCTGCTCTTCGTTCTCCTTCCCTGCAGAGCCGAGGAACGCCATGGGGGTGGACTTTGACGTGAAGACTTTCTGCCACAATCTGCGGGCCACCAAGCCACCCTACGAGTGTCCCGTGGACACCTGCCGCAAAATCTACAAGAGCTACAGCGGCATCGAGTACCACCTCTACCACTACGACCATGACAATCCACCGCCCCCGCAGAACACCCCGCTGCGCAAGCACAAGAAGAAGGGCCGTCACGGACGCGCAAGCAACAAGCAGTCGCCCAGCCCCTCCGAGACTTCGCAGTCCCCGGGGCGGGACGTCATGACTTACGCGCAAGCCCAGCGCATGGTCGAGGTGGACCTGCACGGCCGCGTGCACCGCATCAGCATCTTTGATAACTTGGACGTGGTCTCCGAGGACGACGAGACTCCCGAAGAGGCCCCGGAGAACAATAGCAACAAGGAGAACACAGAAACGCCCTCGGTCGCCCCCAAAGCCGGAAAGCACAAGAACAAGGAGAAACGCAAGGATTCCAACCACCACCACCACCACCACCACAGTGCCTCAGCCGGCAACACGCCTAAGCTCCCCGAGGCTGTGTACCGAGAGCTGGACCAGGATACCCCCGATGCCCCGCCTCGCCCCACCTCTTATTACAGGTACCGGTCGCCGCGGGCCACAAGTCCCGACGTAGGAGCGCGTGGGCTCAGAGAGCTTAAGCGGGAGGGGCGGAGGATCCTTTAACCTGGAGCCTCAGCTAGAGAGAGGAGGGCTCCTTAAGAATGTGTTTCCCTCTCATAGGGTGGCTTCTGACGACACCTTGTTCCGGTTTGGAGACCAAGGTAATATGTGTTCAGAGCGGGTGGGCAGTAGGCAGGCAGACAGACTGGGGGGGACAGAAAGAAAAGGTCTTTCTGTTTGGGAAGGGATACTCCATTGGGATACAGGTAGTGAGGTGGTGGTTCAGTTGAGTTTTGCCCCCCATTTCACGGTCTTTCTTATGCCACAGTGGTTCAGCGAATCACTGCAAGCGGTTAAGTTAGCAACACGGCGGTTCAGTGGATTTGATTTCCCCCCAAAGTTGACTTGGTGGTCAGAAAAAGTCAGGAAAGGCAGATTCTCACTGGTTCCCTTTACCCTCTTTGCTTTGACTTAGGAAAGTATCTTCTTGTACTGAATGAAACATGGTACATTGTGTTTTTTTTAACCCCCCAGTTGTAACAACACCGCTCAGCCTGTTCCATTCAGCTTCAATAGCAGGAGTTCTTAGATTTAAAAGTTTCCTATTATGACATGGTGTTTGTTCTCTTTCTAAGCAAAGGGGGAAAAGGTGGGGGGACTTGAGTATACACACATACACCACACACATTATGACTTCATTGGCATAAATAAGGTGAAAGGCACATTGTTTGGCATTTGCACCATGACATACCTAGCACAAATTACACGATTTGCACCATTTGTGTTTTGTTAAATCACTGTGACTTCTAATGGCTATGTATAGATTGATTGATTGATTGTCATCAAGTTGGGGTTGACTCTTGGTGGCCACATCAATAAATTTTTCTCCTCATGATAACCTGAACCTAGCTTGGTCCTTCCACCTATTGCCACTGCGTCCCTCCACGTTGCTGTTGGTTTTCTTCTCCTTCCACCTTTCCCAGCATTAGAAGCTTCTCCAGGTAGATGCGTGTGGGGCAGAAATAAAGTGGCAACTAGATGATGGGGGATTCTTCATTACGGTTCTGCAATCAGAGGAAGCAATAACTGACACTTGGCCACTTGACTGGAGACTCTCTGGCTCCATTATTGGACTTTAACTATCAGGATTCTGGGAAATGAAATCTAAAAAAATCTGAAGGGAACCAGGCTGAGTTAGAATTTACTGTAGCAGAGCAGTGAAGTGACGATGACACTTTCAGACCGCTTAAAGTAGGTATAAGGATGCTGAAGGGTAGATAGCGGCTCCGTAGGCCTCCTAGACTTCCATTTTCCTCAGCCTTGCACTTTCTCTCTCTCTCTCTCTCTCTCTCTCTCTTCTTTTAGATACATTGAGAAGTCAGCAGAAGAGTTGGATGAGGAGGTTGAGTACGACATGGATGAGGAAGATTACATCTGGTTGGACATTATGAACGAACGCCGGAAGACGGAAGGTGTCAGCCCTATTCCTCAGGAGATCTTTGAATATCTAATGGACCGGCTAGAGAAGGAATCCTATTTTGAGAGCCACAACAAAGGGGACCCAAACGCCTTGGTGGACGAGGATGCCGTCTGCTGCATTTGCAACGACGGGGAATGTCAGAATAGCAACGTCATCCTTTTTTGTGACATGTGTAACTTGGCTGTGCACCAGGAATGCTATGGGGTCCCTTATATCCCGGAAGGCCAGTGGCTGTGCCGCCGCTGCTTGCAGTCGCCTTCCAGGGCCGTGGACTGCGCCCTGTGTCCAAACAAAGGCGGCGCCTTCAAACAGACAGACGATGGCCGTTGGGCCCACGTGGTGTGTGCCCTCTGGATCCCCGAGGTCTGTTTTGCGAACACGGTGTTCCTGGAGCCCATAGACAGCATAGAACACATCCCACCAGCCCGCTGGAAGCTGACCTGTTACATCTGCAAGCAGCGAGGCTCTGGGGCCTGCATACAGTGTCACAAAGCGAACTGCTACACAGCCTTCCACGTTACTTGCGCTCAGCAGGCTGGGCTCTATATGAAAATGGAGCCTGTCCGAGAAACGGGGGCCAATGGCACTTCGTTTAGCGTCCGTAAGACAGCTTACTGTGATATCCACACGCCGCCCGGCTCAATGCGACGCTTGCCTGCCCTCTCCCACAGCGAAGGGGAGGAAGAAGAAGAAGAGGAAGAGGAGGACGGGAAAAGCTGGAGTTCAGAGAAAGTGAAAAGGGCCAAGGCTAAATCCCGGATCAAAATGAAGAAGGCAAGGAAAATTCTGGCTGAAAAGAGAGCAGCTGCCCCCGTGGTGTCAGTGCCATGCATACCTCCCCACAGGTATGGCAGCCTTCATTCTCAGCTTCTTTATTTTATACATTCTCAGCTTCTTATTTTACATTGATGTCCCCATGTAAACAGACACATTGGGGTGCTGGCTTGTTTGCGACAATGAGAGTACCATTGGGCATTTTCTGAGTGGTTAGCCTAAACTGAGAAAGAACTAGCTTCATATATAGATCCTGCGTTTTGGTCATATCATCAGAAATGCACGTAGGAACTGCCTTTGGCTGCAGTTGCTTTACAGCAGCAGTGTTCCTCGTAGTAAAGTAAGATGCCTATTTTATGAACAGATAAAATAACCCCTTCCAAGTACAGGTACATTTAGTAGCATTTTAAAGGGCAATAACACTTGTACGTAGTTAGTTACAATGAGAGAGGTTGTCCAGCATCGCTCAGAAAGTGTGGCAGCTAAGCATGAATTTGAACTGTTCCTTCCTCCCCTTATAATCTATGAATACACCTGTATATCCACGTGCAGGTGCAGCACCTGCGCTCCTTAGGGGTTCGGTGTTTGGTGAAATTCATTGAGTAGAATATTTCGGATTTCTTCTCCGCTCGGCTTTCCAATAAGATCACGTATTTTTGTTTTTGTTAGTGTGGGATAGCCTTTGGAAGGGTTTGTTCATTCTTCTAAGCAATCATTTCGGATGCAAGAAATAACACAGGTAGTCCTTGACTTACAACCACAATTGGGATTGGAATCTCCATCGTTGAGTGAGGTAGTGACTAAATGCCTGATTTTGCAAGCTTTTTTTGCTCTTGTTAAGTGAATCATATGCAAGTGGTCCTCGACTTACAGGTAGTCCTCGTTTTACGACTTATGACAATTGAGCTCCAAATGTCTGTTGCTAAGCGAGACAGTTGTTAAGTGAGCTTTGTTCCATTTAATGACCATTCTTGCCACAGTTGTTAAGTGCATCACTGCAGTTGTGAAGTTAGTTACACAGTCGTTTAAGTGAATCTGGCTTCTCCCGTTGACTTCGCTCCTCAGAAGGTCGCAAAAAGGGATCCCATGATCCTGGGACACTGCTAACCGTCATAAGTGTGAGTCTGTTGCCAACCGTCTGAATTTCGATCACATGACCGTTGGGATGTTGCAGTGGTTGTGAGTGTGAAAAACGGTCACGTTACTTTTTTTCAGTGCCGTTGTAACTGTGAGTGGCCACTAAATGAACTGTTATAAGTCGAGGACTACCTGCACTCGTTAAGTGAATCCGGCTTCCTCATGGACTGCGTTGCCAGAAAAGACAGTTTGGAAAGTCGGAAATGGCAATTAGGTGACTCTGGGATGGCTGCAAACTCTGTGAACGTATGCGGGTTGCCAAGCCCCCTGAACTTTGATCCTGTGACTGTAGGGGACACGGCAGCGGTCATAAGTAGTGAGGGCCAATTAAAAGACCGCCCTGTTGTAGCTTTAAACGGTCATTAAGCAAATGGTGGTAAGTTGAGGACTCCATGCATCCGCCGTCTCCTTTAAAGCAGAATTGGAGTTGCTTTCAGATCTCTTGAAAAAATGTTATCAGTGGACTGAGAACCCCGGAGCAACCCGCTTGCATAATCGATTTGGCAGCAGCGCCAAACGGAGTTGCTTTCTGGACTTTGACCTTATTCTTTAATTGGTCTCCTCTCTCCCCATGAATGAAATTCCTCTACCAAAGCAGCTGAGAGGCGTCTGGTTTGGCCTCTCCTGCTGTCGATGTGCTTTCCTCCCGCTGTGATCGTCCTGACTGGGGCTGGGGAGAAGGACGGAAAGTGAGGTGAACGGGTATTATAGCCTGTTATCAGTGCCGTCAAGGCATTTCCCCTCCCTCGTAGAGCTGGTTGTGCGTAGATTGAGAATGCTGTGAGCTGGACATTTTGGGGGGGGTTACTTCTTATACAGGTAGTCCTCAACTTACAGCAGTTCGCGTAGTGACCGTTCAAAGTTACGACAGCGCTGAAAAAGGTGACTCGTGACCATTTTTCACAGTTACCATCTTCGCAGCGTCCCCCCGTGATCAAAACTCACCCGCTCGACAACGGGTTCATCCTTATGACCGTTGCTGTCTCCCGGGGGGGGGGGTGTCACATGATCTCCTTTTGCGACCCTCTGTCAAGCAAAGTCAATGGGGAAAGCCAGATAACGACTGGGTTGCTAACTTAACAACAACTGCAATCATTCACTTAACTGCGACAAGCAAGGTCGTAAAATGGGGCAAAACTCACTTAGCAGCTGTCTCCCTTAGCAACAGAAACGTTGGGCTAGTTATGATTGTAAGTTGAGGACTAACTATACTTTAAATTCCTGGCTGTCCCGTAGCTCTTCAGTGTTTGTGGCTGTGCTTTCAAAGTGCTTTGAAATAGGGCTTACTGGAGCTAAGTTGTAAAAACCCAAATGGGCACTAGGTGGCAGCAAATGGTTCCCATTTCTGCTCCTCTTTTGTTTTGGTCATTGATTGACTTTGGTCATTGACCTTTGCGTGTGAATTCTTTTTCCGCGGTATTCTTCACCACCCATATACTGCTGCCCTGTTTCAACCAGTCCCTCCAGGGTTAATAAAAACCAGGTTTTCACTTTCATCTGCAGCTTAAAGGTTAGGCAATCAACACATAAAGCATTTCATAGTGCTATAATGCTTTTTCTTGGGCAAATGGCTGTGCTGCTGTGACTAGCAGCTGTTGGCATTGTTAATGGGAAGGGATCTGGGGCTTGTTCCAGGAGAGGAAGGAAGCAGCAGCAGCTGCAAGTGGAATTAATCTGGGAGCTGGTAACTTGCTGAAATGAAAACGAGGAGATATTTGAAACCATGTCAAATTGACTGTTAGTTGACTCTTTGTAGCTGCCACGATCAGCACCCAATTATTTTATTTTCCTCTCACCCTTCTTAGCCTCTGCAACCAAATTTTACTGTTGGAACCTTGGATGGGATAGTTATATTTTACTTAGGAAAATTGCGTGTGAGATAAAACTCGTTGGACAGGTTTTATCCTGTCTTCTAATTCCAGATGAACCCTTATTAAGAAGATAGATTTATTTATTTATTATTTATTGTATCTGCGTGCCATCCCATTTCACTATTAAATGACTCTGGGGGTCTTATCTTAAATTATATATATATATATATATATATATATATATATTTGTTTTCTGAGGTTCTCGCGGGTATTTGTATGTGGATCTTTGGTTATTCGGGTTCTCTCCCGCGTAAGATTCAAAGTATCTAGGCAACGTTTCGGCGAGGTCCCACTCGCCATCTTCAGGCTGGTGCTTTCGGCTTGGTGCCAGTGCAAGCAGTGTGTGACCGGAGCTGCCATCTCTCTATATATACAAGTGGTGGGGGATGGTGTGCTGGGCTGGTTGGCTGTGCTGCAGCCTCTTGATTGGTTGATGGAGTTGATGTTGGTATAATGGGCTGTGTAATGGCCTTTTGTTGTAGAGATATCCTGGATCTTGTGCTGTCATCTCCTGGGTCGTTAGCCTCTTGTGTTTTAACGGCTTGGGTAATGGGTTGTGTGATGGGCTTGTGAGTTCTTTTGTTGTGGTATCCTGGGTCTTGCGTTGTAATCTCCTGGGTCGTTTGTGTTTTGATCTCTTTTCCATTAGCCTCCTGTGTAGTAACAGCTTGGGTAATGGGTTGTGTGATGACCTTGTGAGATTTATTGCTGTGGTATCCTTGGTCTTGTGCTGTGATATCCTGGGTCATTTGCTGTGTTGTGACTTCTTGAGTTCTTGAGGTGTAGTTTCTTGAGTTTTCTGATGTGATGTCCTGAGCGGGTGGCTGTGATGTAGCATTTTGGGTTTTTAATATGGCTTTGAGTTTGGGGTCTGGGTCTGTGTTCGTTTGGCTTCGAGTTCGTGGTCGTGCCACATCTTCATGGTGGGGGTCAGTTCGCTTCATGTATGGTTCAGAGGAGTTTGAAGTGGGTAGTGATGCAGCTGCAGTGCGGCTTCTGGTCTGTGGTCGTGTCTCATCTGTGTGGGTGTGAGTCTGATTTTTACGTGGAAGTGTGGTGGTGGCATCTTGTGTGGCCCTCATGGGTGTGGGTCTGGTGTCATTTATCATGTTGGGTACTCGTCTGTTCATGAGGGCGGGTTTCCAAATGGCTGGTAAGCGGGAGGTGTCATCTCTTTTATTCATGCTGTGTGGGCGTTTTTCTATCTCTATGGCTTCTCTGATTATTCTGCTGCTGTGGTGTTCAGTTTTGGCGATAGTTCTAGTATTTTTAAGGTCAATCTCATGTCCTGTGGCTTTGAGGTGTTGGACCAGGGAAGAGGTTGGTTCTTCTTTTTTGATTGAGTTCTTATGTTCTTCAATGCGTGCACTTATTCTTCTGTTAGTTTGTCCAATGTATGTGGTGAGGCAGGCAGTGCAGGGGATTTCATATACTCCTTGGTTTTCTAACTCGATTTTGTCTTTAGGGTTTCTTAGGATGGTGGATATTTTTCTGTTTGTGCAGAATGCTGTTTTAATGTTGTGTTTTTGGAGGATCTTGCTGATTTTGTCTGTAGTGCCTTTTATATATGGGAGGAGGGCTTTGCCGTTCTCTTGTTCTCTGTCTTGGATTTTGGTTGGGGTTTCTTTTTGGATTAGGTGGGTGATCTTCTTTCTTTGAAATCCATTGGCTGTTAGTACGTTGGTGAGAGTGTTTAGTTCGGTTTTTAGGTGTTGTTCATCAGCTAAGCATTTTGTTCTGGAGATGAGTGTCTCAGCTACGGAATTGATCTGTGCTGGGTGGTGGTGTGAGAGTGCATGTAGATAGCGGTTTGTATGTGTTTTCTTCTGGTAGATGGTGTGTCCTAGGGAGCCATTGGGTTTTTTGTATACCAAGACATCTAGGAAGGGAAGTTGATTGTTAGCTTCTGTTTCCATGGTGAATTGTATTTTGGGGTGTAGGCTGTTGAGGTGTGTGAGGAAGTTGTTCAGTTTTTCTTTCCCGTGTGGCCAGATTATGAAGGTGTCATCTACGTATCTGAGCCAGAGTTTGGGTTTGTGATCATATTTTTCTAGAGCTTGTGT